GAGGAGCATGTTGAGCATCTTAGGTTGGCCTTGACAAAGTTAAGGAAAGCCCAGTTGTATCTGAAACCAGAAAAATGTGAGTTTGCCCAGAAGGAAATTTCATTCCTAGGGCATATTATTTCTGCGGGCGTGGTGAAGATGGACCCGAAAAAAGTTGAGGCCATTGCAAATTGGCCTGTCCCTACTAAGGTTACTGAACTGCGTTCTTTCCTTGGTTTGACAAACTATTATCGAAAATTCGTGAAGAATTATTCGAAGAAGGTCGCGGTGCTGACTGATCTTCTAAGGAAGGATAGGACATGGAATTGGTCCTACGAATGCCAGGAGGCATTCGATCGATTGAAGGCGGTGGTGACATCTAGCCCAATTTTACGCTTACCTGATTTTGATTTGCCCTTTGAAGTCCATATAGACGCATCAGACTTTGCTCTTGGAGGGGTGCTGGTACAGAATGGGCATCCAGTGGCATTTGAAAGTAGGAAGCTGAATGATACTGAGAGGCGGTATTCAGTACATGAGAAGGAGATGACAACAATCATTCACTGCATCAATGCATGGAGGCATTACTTGTTGGGGAAGCATTTCCTTGTACTGATAGATAATGTGGCTACCAGCTGCTTCAATTCCATGAAGAAGCTGACACCAAAACAAGCAAGATGACANAATCATTCACTGCATTAACGCATAGAGGCACTACTTGTTGGGGAAGCATTTCCTTGTATTGACAGATAATGTGGCTACCAACTGCTTCAATTCCATGAAGAAGCTGACACCAAANTCATATGAGTTTTTACTTATGTCTTTCGGCTTAACCAATGCCCCTGCTACATTCTGTAACTTGATGACCAATGTATTTCGGGAATACTTGGACCGCTTCATGGTGATTTATTTGGATGACATAGTTGTTTATAGCCAGACTCTTGAGGAGCATGTTGAGCATCTTAGGTTGGCCTTGACAAAGTTAAGGAAAGCCCAGTTGTATCTGAAACCAGAAAAATGTGAGTTTGCCCAGAAAGAAATTTCATTCTTAGGGCATATTATTTCTGCGGGCGTGGTGAAGATGGACCCGAAAAAAGTTGAGGCCATTGCAAATTGGCCTGTCCCTACTAAGGTTACTGAATTGCGTTCTTTCCTTGGTTTGACAAACTATTATCGAAAATTCGTGAAGAATTATTCGAAGAAGGTCGCAGTGCTGACTGATCTTCTAAGGAAGGATAGGACATGGAACTGGTCCTACGAATGCCAGGAGGCATTCGATCGATTGAAGGCAGTGGTGACGTCTAGCCCAATTTTACGCTTACCTGATTTTGATTTGCCCTTTGAAGTCCATACAGACGCATCAGACTTTGCTCTTGGAGGGGTGTTGGTGCAGAATGGGCATCCAGTGGCATTTGAAAGTAGGAAGCTGAATGATACCGAGAGGCGGTATTCAGTACATGAGAAGGAGATGACAGCAGTCATTCACTGCATCAATGCATGGAGGCACTACTTGTTGGGGAAGCATTTCCTTGTACTGACAGATAATGTGGCTACTAGCTGCTTCAATTCCATGAAGAAGCTGACACCAAAATAAGCAAGATGGCAGGACTTTCTTGCCCAGTTTCATTTCACATTGCAGTACAAGTCTGGCAGTGCAAATCAGGTTACTGATGCTCTTAGTCGAATCCCAGTTGCTGATGGGATAGTTGCTGCACTTAGCCAGATTGTAGGAGACATACTGCAGAGAATTCAGGATCAGACTAAAGATGATCCAGTGACCAGCTTATTGCTGAAGCAGGTTCACGAAGGGGTGACTCGGCGATTTTGGATAGAGGATGGTGTTCTCTACGCCAAAGGTAGGAGACNAAGCAGGTTCACGAAGGGGTGACTCGGCGATTTTGGATAGAGGATGGTATTCTCTACGCCAAAGGTAGGAGACCCTACATTCCGAAGTCAGGCGGACTTCGACAGATATTGCTAAAAGAAGCTCATGATGCTCTATGGGCAGGACATCTAGGGCAACAACGAACTCTTGCCTTGCTAGCAAAAAGTTATTATTGGCCCCGCATGGAAGCAGATGTGGAGCTGTATGTGCGCACTTGTTTGGTGTGCCAGCAGGACAGGATTGAAAGGAAGAAGGTGGCGGGTACATTGGAACCTCTCCCTATTCCAAGCCGACCTTGGGAGAGTGTTTTCATGGACTTCATTAATGGCTTGCCTTAGGTAAACAATTTTACTTCGATATTTGTGGTGGTAGATAGATTTTCAAAGTACGCCACTTTTATTGTTGCCCCAAAAGTATGTACGGTGAAAGTTACTACTCAGTTATTCCTCAAGCATATTGTGAAACTTTGGGGTCTTTCGCTGGACATAATGAGTGATAGGGACACTCGATTTACTGGCCGGTTTTGGACAGCTTTATTTGAACTGTTGGGCACACAGCTCAACCTTTCCACCAGTAATCATCCGCAGACAGATGGGCAGACTGAACGGGTCAATTCAATGCTGGAGGAATATCTCAGATATTATGTCACAACGAACCAAGACAATTGGGTGGATTTACTTGATGTAGCCAGTTCAGTTATAACCTCCAACAGAGTTCTTCCACTGGAATGAGCCCCTTTGAGTTGGCAACTGGCCAACAGCCTCTGACCCTGCATGAAGTTGTCAAGCAAAAGTCTCAAGGGAGATGTCCTGCAGCATATTGCTTCGCTCGGGCCAATCAGGAGCAAACCGACGAAGCAAAAGACTGTTTAACTAAGGCGGTAAAGAGGATGAAAAAGTGGGCAGACGAGAAAAGGAGGGCAGCAGAGTTCGAAGTGGGTGACAAAGTGATGCTGAAATTGACCCCACCAATCTGGAATAAGATCTCTCGGAAGTCTGCACACAAGGGATTAATCTAGCGTTACGATGACCATTTCCTAATAACAAAGAGGATTGGCAGGTTGGCCTATAGGTTGGATCTTCCCAGTCGTCTCAAGCTTCATCCAGTTTTCCATGTTGCCTTCTTAAAGTCGTATGTTGAGGATCCGGAGGACCCTAACAGATACGTTTGGCGTCGGGCTCCTCCAACAATCAGGAAGCAATTCACAGAAATAGCTGAAGCTATCCTTGACCACAAGACTGAGGGAATGAGTAAGAAAAATAGAAGAACTCATTACCTAGTCAAGTGGAAAGGGAAAGCACCAGAGGAAGCCACTTGGAAAAAAGAGACGACATTGTGGCAGTTTGAGGATCTCATCAAGCAATACGATGCCTCAATTCCAACGAGGTCGTTGGATACTTCAGGTGGGGGTGGCTTGTCACACCCTAATTGACTTGGGTGCAAATGACCTATCTTGGTGGCACCNACCAATACCATACCTCCATTCCAACAAGGTCGTTGGATACTTCAGGTGGGGTGGCTTGTCACACCCTAATTGACTTGGGTGCAAATGGCCGATTTTGGTGGCACCTTGCACTAAGGCATGCCAGAAATCAGAATCAAGGTGATGCGGCTAAGTGATTCGACAGATTGGGGCGAACCAAGGCAGCATGAGACCACCCGGTTGAGCATGGCAGCATGGGTGGGCTCAATTGAAGCAATGTGGGGTCAGAGCTTCGGATTGCATGGCAGGGGTTGAACCCAGCATGCACATTGGTTCGTGTAGCAAGGTTGATTGCTGAATGTGGGCACATGGCTGCTGAATGTGGGCACCTGACTGGTACATGGCTGCTCAATGCATGTGACCAGGAAGATGTAAGCGGTTATGATGCTGAGACTCAGTCAAGGCAGTTGCTGAGGCAGTTCTGGATGTCCCCAGTCTGAATCCAGTCTAGATGCATGTTGATGAAGGGCAGTTCCACAACAGTTACTGGAAGTGGTGGAACTGTCTGCCAAGTGTTGCACAGAGACCAAGCCTGCTAGCCCAGTATGCTATGGAATAGCAAAAACGTGGGTAACTACCCCTTAGCAGATGGGGGTGTCATCTGTCTTCCTCTTGTATAAATAGGGGTGCTTGAGCATTCTGGAGAGCAGAGAATGTTCTAGCTTTGAGAGTCCTTGTAAATTATTGAGTTCAATATATAAGGTTTGGGAGTGTTGTCCCAGTAAATTCGTGTGTACCTTCTGTGTGAGTTTCTGTCCTTTATTCTTAAGTTTGAGTGTGGCTGGTTGCAATAGCAACACCTTCACAGGTAGCCTTAAAAGAAAAATGAAAGTTACTATGTGACATTTATGGTGGCTATGGTATTTTAGATTTTTTGGTTTAATTTATTTGTGTTTATTTGATTTGTAATTCAAATTCAACCCAAATTCGTCTGAATTCAACTTGAACAATACTCGGGTTGAAATCGAATTTGAGCTCGGGCTCGTGCTAAAGATTCTACATGTAGGTTTAGGATAGGGTTAACCCTTTAGCCTGCCCAATCTGCCCGAGTTACACCCTTAACTTGAATTCGTAATCTTAAAATTTAAACGCAGGAGTGATAATCGTTAAGTAAACCGTTAGTCTCTTTTTAACATAGAGTGATCCTAATTTTTTTTTATTAAATTGATAATAGATTTGACTATTAATTAATTAAGACCCACTATAAATTTAATAATTATGATTTATCATATCAATAAATTAGCAATATTCTGTGACTGAAGTCACTGAATATTAAACTATGACACTATGCGTGTATTAGAGAGTGTGTGTACAACTAAAGTGTATATATAATGTGTGAGTGTGTATTGAAGTATGTGTAACTATGTGGTGTGGAGTATTTGTGTTGAGTTTGTGAAATTTGGAAGGGAAAGTATGTGATGGGTGTGTAAAATTTGAAGGGAAAAATATACTGCCAAAAATTCAAACACCTACCTATCTTATTATATAGATAAGATCACTAAATTTATAATATAAATTTTAATAAATTTATCTAATTATTTTAAATAGACCCACTCACCGGCCATTAAATTCACTTTACCTTCGTGCACGATAACATTTCAACGGTTATAATAAAACTTTACGTACCGATAGCATTACTATCCCTATTTTTCACTGAAGACTAACACTTTGATTAAGCAGTCTTCATGACGGTACAATTGGGATAAGGATTTCATGGCTTCTACTCTTATCATCCCTCCAAGCTTCTGCTTTGGGTTCTCTGCTAGACTTTCACTTCTATCAACTCCTTTTTCAGTGTCACAGATTTCCACCTTCCAATCACCCAAAAAAGCCCTTCAAGTGAAGCTCAAGCACTTTCCCAGAGCATCTTCTGAAGGTCCACTTTCCCTTATTTTAGTTTTGAAACTTCTTGCCATATTTTCACTTCATATTCGTTCTTTAGTGGGTACATTGAAAATTGGGTTTTCGTTAGATTTTGTGTTGGATAATTTATGCTCTTTAATTATTTCCTTCTCTCAGCTTGATGTTTTGGGGTGAATAGTATGAAGAGGATTGGTTTTATTTGAATTGCTAGCCATTAGGAAGTACTTTCCTTGCATTTGTGAGTAAAGTTCGTTTCAAGTATCGATTTAGCTTTATATTTTGCTGCCAAAAAGCAGCAAAACTACTACCAAGGAGCTAAACCAGGCAGTTCCTTTACGACACGTTTTGGAAATCAGATCCATCTAGAAGTTTAAATGTGAACTCATTAACAATATGTTAAGATACATTCACTTATTTCTCCTTCTGAAGTGGGATTCCCACGTGTAATATCGCGACAACTGTTGCATTGTTTTTTTTTATTTAGAGGTTCCTATTATATTTGGTTTTGTGGTAATAGGGCTTCCTAATGAGCTGATTGAAGATTCCAAGTTTGTTCCTTTGAATGCTGATGATGCTGCATATGGTCCACCTGTAAGTTCTGGTTAGTTCTTAAACATCATTGGTGTTATTTGTCTATTTATGTATGTCAACGTTTCCTCTTCTTTACTTACCGTACATGATAGCCTTCCCCCCCCGGGAAGTATGTTAGCCTTTGTTGTTTGAACTGTGAGATTTATGTTCAAAATGACAAATGTGGGAACAGGTACTGAATATATGACAAACTCCAAAGTACACCACTTACCCTGTAACCTAGCAGATGCGGAAGCCAGATAAAGGAAGAGAAGTGGAAATCTCCAGTTCAAAGCTGGTGTTGCGGGATATTTATAATTTTGTATAACAAATTTCCTTCTTCACAAGGCACTTGGCACTTAAAAAGTGTAAAATACCAATATTGGATTTGCAAAGTCCCATAAACACTCGATGTTTTTGTGGTGTGCTAAGATTACAATGTGGACACTGGACACTCCGCTGGTTTTCTATTACTACATATTTAGGCTATATGTTGCAGAAAATCTAGAATACCTAAATGCCAATATGCATCAAGTCTCTAAGATCAAGCCTGGTCATTTTAACTAATTTCTGAAACTGAATTTTTATGTTAGTAGATAACATGATATTTTGTTCAGGTAAGATCAGAGAATCATTTTTCTTTATTTTGCAGGCTTTATTGTTGTTGGGCTTTGAAGTAGAGGAAGCAATCAAGGTCTCTTCCATCAATCGCCTTTTTTAACATTGTATCTTTATTTACAATTGGATTGTTCTAGCTGTTCTTATTGTTGACATTATACTCCTGCTTAGTAACTCAAACAATTATATAACCCATGATGCATTTTCCTCGTCTTCATGATCGTTTTATCATCCTTTTTTTCTTCTTCTGCGGTAATTTTTGCTGCAGATCCTTTTTTTTCCATTAGGGGTTGGGGGGAGACAGAAAGGGTCATGTTGTATTCAAACCTCTTAATCCAGTTTACTAGAGCTGGTAAAAAACTGCATGAAAATTTTACCCAGCTCATTTTTTATTGCTTGCATGCACTGTTCCTGCCTTCTAGCATAGCTTAAGATGTGATTAGGTCAATTCACATAGAGATTGTAAAGGTCTTACATAAAAAATCCCTATGCTTTTCATGGTGCACCACTGCTTCATTTTCATTACACATATGGGCTAAATATTTCCCATAAGTTTGCTGCATCTTCTTCTTCCTCTCCTCATAGTTATATATTTTCTCAATATAGGTCAATATGTCACAAACCACTTTGAATCTAATCTTTTGTTTGAAGTTTAATAGTTTTTTATCCAGACACAATACTCGGATTCAGTACTGCTGATAGGAAAATTGTATCAAATGCATGTTATCATTCATGGGTCTTCTTTATATTGGAGGATTTTTTTTTATAAACCTTACTTTTTGCCAAGGTAATTGAACGTTATTAATTATCAATATTTTTTTATTATTGTTAATTATCAAGAGCTCCTTAAAAAACAGATGATACCTGGATTCTCTATGAATCATTCAACATTTGTCTCATAAAACGTGATTCTGAACCACCCTAACAATTCCTTAACATGTTTATCTTGTTTCAGATACGGCAACTTCTGAAGGATTTGGATGGTGAATTTCTAGAGGTAAATTTTTAGATTATAGCATTCCATTCCTTGCTATTGTTGCTTCTCTATATGTTTTCTTTCATATTTTGACATGTATTTGCAATATTTGGCAAATGAGATGATGTAAAGAAGTTTTTGGTTAGTCAGACATATTTTGATAGATATCTTGTAAATCTGGCCAAATAATTTGCAAAAAAAGGGTTTACTTTGTTGAATTCTACTAAGAAGGCTCTGTTCATGCTTGGCAAAATAATTTGACAATTTTTGGCTTTTTCAAATACCGAGCTTGAAGATGTTCAACTTCCAAATTGTTAAACAACATTTGTTCCATAAGTTTAAGATGTTAGAGAGGATGCAATGTAAGTATTTATATTTCAATACACCCCCTCACATGTAGGCTAGATTTTGGGCCTAGTATAAAAATCTTTTAATAATTGGGATGACTGTAAGATTAGAACACAGGACTTTCATGTTAAGTCACCAACTCTTCTAAAAGCTTAAATTTTTAGAGATTGTGTAACTTAAATATTTATACTTCAACACAAATTAACTGATTAAACATTTATTTCATATTTTTTCTTGGCCAAGAGGGTAAAAAGTAAGAAGAAATAAAATCTGCTGGTGGAATATTACCTTGTGGAGATCTGTATTGACTGGTAGAGATCTCAATTTAACAATTTTTGAAAAAATAGAAAAGTTGTGTCCTATCATTGTTACTAGTTTCCAGTCTTGGATTAAGGACCATGAGTTTGTATTCAACAAAAGAAAAAATTTAGTTACATTTAAATTGTATTGCAGATTATATTTTGTACTGAAGACATGATTACTCTCTCACTTTGGGAAGCACTGAATACAAAACAACCCAATTTGGAAGCTGGGAAGGTAAATCTATGAACTCCATAGTGTCTTGTCTTTTTCTTCTACCATTCTTTCTGCCTTCCATTTCTACGTGTTGTAAGTCTAAAATTAAGTTATTTCAGGACTCAAGACTTTTTGGTGAGTAGTAATAGATTTAGTACAACATGTATGAGCTCCTTTCTTTCTTCTTATTGCTATCAATTGGTTTCGATGGCTCGATGTGGCAATAGCATTTATTGATACTTTTCACTGTAGCTGCTGCTGCTTTTTTTTTTTTTTCTGATAAAGCATATAAACTCGGATAGTTTTCTTCATATGGGGACAATCAATTTAAGTAAACAATGATCTTGTTGATGCATTTCAGCAGTTGGACTAGACAGGTTTTTTTCAGCAAACTTAAAAATCATATGCTTCGTTTAATGCTCCTGCATGTGTCATTATTTAGTTAAGAACAGACTATTTCTGCTGGATGGTGTTAGTCCCTGAGTTGGGTTTACACTGGATTCTGATAAGTTTATATGGTAATATTTTACTGCAATTGAATAGGCATGGAAAGGTGTTAGTGTATAGGACTGCAAACCTCCAATTGACCAACCATATAAAGAGCAGAAGTAATCTGTGGGCGATGTGTGCAAAAGTACTTATGTTTCTTTTTTGCATTGACGCTTTTACTTCGCGAAAAGAGAGCAAGAGGGTGAGGAAGGAAGAGAGCAACACAAGGGTCGCACAACTTCACCCTTGTGTTGCTAACTGTAATAGGCAGAGACATACTGACTCAATAATTCTCGTTATCCTTTCTCTTGAACTTGAAAATTCATGACTACAAACTTGCTTCTTATCTGGTCTTACCGCAGAGGAGATAATGTTTGAATTTGTCTAAGGTGGTAAGCATCCTGTGTTTTGCAGATTGCAAAATCACTGCCCCGAATTTGCTTCTTCTCTGGTCTTACTGGGGAGGAAATGTTGATATTCATTGATGCATTCCCAGAAACTGGTAAGGGATAATTTGTTCGATTTTTTTTTTTTTTTGTCACTGACCAAAATTATATAGTTTTATGAAATTGATTTTATCAATGTTGAAATTGAAATGAAAAACAAAAGTTATGAAAATTTTCAAGCTTCCATGAAAAGACTAGAAGTTCCTTCTCTCTTAAAGAACACAGTTAAATTTGCTCAATTATTCAAACCATTGATAAATTGTGAACATCATCCTATCGCTCTGGGATTACATACGATTACATTGAACTTAGTAAAAGGTGCATTAGATACATGTGGTTCCAAGTTAATGCCAGACAAAAAAGGATTATAGTTTTCCATGCGATGGCCTGGGACGAGGTACTATTTGTGAAATTTCGGCTTGGGACGCAGAGCCTCCCCCCCACCCCCCGCTTTTGTCCTGATCAAGAAATACGGGAAGGAGCCCTATCAAGTAAAGGCCATAACCAACCTCTTTATTGATGTACATACACCTTTGTGTCAGGGTGGGTCTGCCCTTCCTCCTGCTCATCTGGTCATTTCTGAACCTATCTCTGAGATTCAGTTGAACTTTGTTTCCATCTTCCCCATTCTTACGATATATTATAGACAGAGAAGTTTCATAATTGATTTTATGCATGTCATGGAGCTTTTTCCTTTTGGTATGGATTTAGAGTCTTCATAGATGGTAAATTTTAGTTTGTTACTTACCCATGAAAAAAAAAACTTCGTCATGGGAGCAGGGTGTACCAAAGAAGATGCTTATATTTCCATCATTGCTTTTCCTCATAATGAAACCTAAAACTTCTCACTGGAAATATACTTCTGCTGTTGGCTTTGATATATTTGTGCATTACATAAAGAGATAGGAGACATTTCTGTTGCTTCTGTGCAGGATTGGAACCTGCTGTATTTGCTGCTCTTGTTCCTTACAGCGCTGATAAACCGTTACAGGAGTTAATCGAAGAGATCATGGGGGACCATGAAATGCTGGTTAGTTAATGTGTCCTGTGTAACATGCATGATATTTTCTGCAATTATTTGACTATTTCCCTACTCATGATAGGTTATTTAATCTGTGTAGTCTGCAAGACAATTGGACTAGAAGTTCAAAGACAGATTAGACATTTGAAGAATCAAAGAATTCAATGTCTCTTGTGAACGATGATCTAAACCATGTTCATTTTAGGCGTCAATTGTTTCACATATTTTCAGAAAGGGTACAGGAATTCTGTTTTTGGGGCAGTGGTGATATAGTACCTTCAATCAACATCTGGTTCATTCATTGTGCAAAGCTCATTTGCGTTAGGGTATATTTGGATGGTAGAGTTTGACTGGATGGACGATATAAAAAAATGTCATTTTCTATCCAACCCAAACCTACTTATCATTGAACGGGTTAGGATTTAATTGTTATATTTTATTTTTTCCGGGGTTTGGATAACACATAAACACTTATGTGGATCCATGGAGAAGGTGATGAAAATTAATTAGGATTTAATTGTTATATTTTATTTTTTCTGGTGTTTGGATAACACATAAGAACTTCTATGGAATCCATGGAGAAGGCGATGAAATATAATATTATTGACTATTTTGCCTTTAATCTATCCAATTCAATATCATGTTTAGTTTATAAATTAGCATTTGACCAATTTCAAACAAATTTTTTTTACATACAATTTTTAAAAATGTTATAATTTCATATCCTCTAAACGAGTGGTCAAGGGTTATGAAGACTATTGAGAATTAACTTAAGGTCTCACTAATTAGTTATTTTATTATTAGTTATTAATTAATCTTAGCACAAATAGGATATTGTTTTATTAGAGTTAGTTTATTATTTGAATTAGGTATCTTATTGGAAAAGGCATCTTAGTCTTCTTGANTCAGTTATTAATTAATCTTAGCACAAATAGGATATCGTTTTATTAGAATTAGTTTATTATTTGAATTAGGTATCTTATTGGAAAAGGCATCTTAGTCTTCTTGAGATATATTGGCAAAGCTTTATTTTGACAAAATAAATTTGTTGAAAAAAATCAGATTTGTGAAAAAATAAGAGATGAAGAAAGCCCAAGCGTGTGAGAGAGAGAAGGAGAGGGAGAAGAGAAGAAAACAATTCAATCATTTGTATTAGTTGTCATGTCTGTTTGGCAAAAAAAATCTGAGCCCTCCCTTTAGTTTCATTTAATTTATGCAGATGGGTTAAATTTGACTTTTCAAATCGTGTTAAGATAAAATTCAAATAAAATTCGTGATGCATTTTTTATTTATCAAACATGAGACATAGGAACCCTCAAAAAATTTTTATTCTATCTTATCAGAGTTATCCCTTTTAACCTGCAATCCATACATNATATAAAATTCAAATAAAATTTGTGATGCATTTTTTATTTATCAAACATGGGACATAGGAACCCTCAAAAATTTTTTATTCTATCTTATCAGAGTTATCCTTTTAACCTGCAATCCATACATACAATGAATGAACTACCCGTTCAACATTAAAANTATAAGCAAATATCGAATATTACAAAAACAGTGTCCTATCTCTCACTTATTTATACAAGAGTCTAGAACAATTCACCAAAGCAGTTCTAAAAGGCATCTAAAATTCTACTGTTCCTTCCAAGGGTCTTGAAAAAGAAAATAAAGGGAAAAAATACAAGCATGTAAGGTAAGCATGTAAGGAAAATGACACACTCCGATAGGATGCAAAATTTCAAAATTTTGCCTAATGTTGTACAAAGCCCAAAAAAAAATTCTTCACTTGTATGGTTTGGGCTATATGATGTATCAAAAATCAAAAGTAATTGAATCTATATGATTAACCTGCAAGCTTTTGCAGTGGAATAATACAAACTTCAACCATATTATTGCTACTCAATTTTTTTAAAATAAATATACAAGAAAATTAACAAAGGAAATGTGTATTTTCCTTTCTGAATTGTTTTTCTTAAGAAATGCTTGCCATAACTGTTATCCAAGTCTCCCTTTTTTCCCTACATTCTTCACCTTTTGCAGTGCAAATGGTCAAATCATTATCAGCAAAACCATGTACCACTGTTATTTTCAGGTGCAGCTCGCGAATTAGAGAATTTGATAACATGACAAATCATATTTTCTCTCCCATTGATATTCCAACTACCAGTGAGGATGTTATGGCCCAAGACATCATTATTTTTCATACAGTATTCCTTATAAGATATAGATATTGCAACCTTTTGAATGTTTTTGATTGTGTTGCCAGACTCGAAATTTCCAAGGGAAGCAATCAAAAAGAGTGATAGCCTTTGTGCGTGCCGAGGATTAGAGCCATGGGTTACAAAAAAGGCTGTTCTTGACAAATTAGGTGAAATCACATTAAAAATCTTCTAAAGACTGTATGTGTAAACACCAAAGAATATATAAACAGGAAAAAAAAACGGCACTGATGAAGAGGAGGCGTCGGTGATGAGATTAACGCCAGAGTAGCAACTAAACCATTGACAAAAAAAAAAAGAAATATAGAGAGAAAATAAAGCACCACATATTGGCTTATACAAATGACAGTTAAGTAGGATAGTGGGAAAAAGGAAATATACAAGCAGATAAGCCTCCCCCCCCCCCCTTTCTTTCTTCCCCTTTTCTCCTTTTTCTCTCTTTTCCCCTTGAAANAAATGACAGTTAAGTAGGTTAGTGGGAAAAAGGAAATATACAAGCAGATAAGCCTTCCCCCCCCCCCTTTCTTTCTTCCCCTTTTCTCCTTTTTCTCTCTTTTCCCCTTGAAATTCTTTTAAGCATGAAAAAGAATGATTTGAGTCCATCTGTGATTCTCATCCACGATTTTCTTCCAAACCCTCAATAATATACTGGTTTCTTTGTGGTTCTAAAACAAAACAAGTAATAATTCTTCCAGTCCAAGTATCTATTTACACTAATCAAACACTTTTTCAGCTAGGTCCTGAGGAGGAGTTAAGGCACGAGAAGTAGAGATCACTGATCCATGTTGCCCAAACAGTCACCACCGACTCAAGATGTTCCCAAGGACATCACACTCTTCTGCTTGATCTGTCTGATTCCAATTATCATGGTACATGTACTCAAATCAACACCATCACACCTCTTTCCTTGTCCCTTTTAACCACTGCTCAATTCCCACTAATCAATAAATCAATAACTTTGCATGCCCTTATTAACCCGTAATTATGCACTTCCTTGTTAGTTGTTACCCATTTCGAGACCTCTGTAAGTTCCAGTTTGCTGTGATGGGGTCGCGGTATTTTGTATAACATCCGTGCCCACGAACAAAGCACATTAACTTGGCCCAAATAAATAAAGGTAGATAAGCATCTCCGCACAGGATGTTCTTTTAATCATGTCAGTGAGTCCCTTGAGTTCATCAGTGATACTAATCAATGATTTGCTCCCTAGATTTCGTAAATAAACAATTTTTTCTGCAATTCCCAAACAAACTAGGTCCTATTGGTTCTGAAGAAATCAACTGTTTTTTTCCTGGCAATGTAGACCATTTTGCCAACTACTATTAGTTTATTATAGATGATGGGTTTCATCCACCAATGAAGTTATTTTAATATTGACAGTCCCATACATGCATTTTCTAGTTATCTGCATATAAATCCTTTAATAGTCACTCTCTAGAGATGTTCGGAGAGTCGGCTAGGTAGTACACAATGAGGATTCCCCGCCTGAAATCTAGGAAAGCTCTTTTTCTGCTGTGCTTGCCACTACTGCCTAATAGGGTTTTCGAAACTTCTAGCTCTACAACTTGATCTGTACTCTCAAGCTAGCTCACACCTCTGGTCCATCTCTTGGTCAAAACTTGTATTTAATTTCAAACGTTAACTCATCCAACACTTCCAATTGCATGTGTTGACCATGCCTCTAAATCAATATGCTTCCCGAAAAACTAACTGCTAACCGAATCCACCAACATAGTTGTAGGACTTGTGCACATCTACTGACTCAATTCACTCAACTACATGAATCACAAAATGCAGACAAACACTTAATCAAGTCATCTTAGTACAGAATTAGTCATGCAATCTTTTCTCGTCGCACCTATTAAAATCAGAACAAGCCATATAAAATAAACCTACAATCGCAAAATTAATCTCCACCAACTTTAGCCAGCTAAAAATATCCATCAAGGCATCAACAAACAATCAGCATGTACTACTTCCAATCCTACCTCATATGCCTTCAGTAAAGTATTTTTTATTTTACCGATATCGTATAAATTATCATCAACATCATGAAATATAATCCCATACGTCCCAATCCAGTTAAACAACACCAACATTTTGTGAACTTATCAACAAAAACAAAATACAATTAACCAAGAAGATTGACATCAGAAGCTCAAATAGAAAATAAAAACCAAATGACCAAATATTATCTCACCTAAAGGAAAAGAGGCAAAAGTCCATACCTTCAATAATCCACATCAAACCAAGCGTCCAAAACTCAACCCCACTTCACAATCACTCCTCTTCATCACTCTCATCACTAAAATAACCCTTTCTCTTTTCTCTCTTTCCCTTATTTTTCTCCCCCAAATCATCATCCTCTCTCATCAACAACCTCTCATCCGCCCCATTATCCACCACCGACGCCCAATTCTCCTCCTCCCACACCTCCCCACCACCATCCTCCTCCCACTCCCCTTCACCCCGATCAACCCCAACCCCACCACCAACGCCACCACCTCTCCGTGCCCTTTNTCTGTACTCTCAAGCTAGCTCACACCTCTGGTCCATCTCTTGGTCAAAACTTGTATTTAATTTCAAAAGTTAACTCATCCAACACTTCCAATTGCATGTGTTGACCATGCCTCTAAATCAATATGCTTCTCGAAAAACTAACTGCTAACCGAATCCACCAACATAGTTGTAGGACTTGTGCACATCTACTGACTCAATTCACTCAACTACATGAATCACAAAATGCAGACAAACACTTAATCAAGTCATCTTAGTACAGAATTAGTCATGCAATCTTTTCTCGTCGCACCTATTAAAATCAGAACAAGCCATATAAAATAAACCTACAATCGCAAAATTAATCTCCACCAACTTTAGCCAGCTAAAAATATCCATCAAGGCATCAACAAACAATCAGCATGTACTACTTCCAATCCTACCTCATATGCCTTCAGTAAAGTATTTTTTATTTTAACGTTATCGTATAAATTATCATCAACATCATGAAATATAATCCCATACGTCCCAATCCAGTTAAAAACACCAACATTTTGTGAACTTATCAACAAAAACAAAATACAATTAACCAAGAAGATTGACATCAGAAGCTCAAATAGAAAATAAAAACCAAATGACCAAATATTATCTCACCTAAAGGAAAAGAGGCAAAAGTCCATACCTTCAATAATCCACATCAAACCAAGCGTCCAAAACTCAACCCCACTTCACAATCACTCCTCTTCATCACTCTCATCACTAAAATAACCCTTTCTCTTTTCTCTCTTTCCCTTATTTTTCTCCCCCAAATCATCATCCTCTCTCATCAACAACCTCTCATCCGCCCCATTATCCACCACCGACGCCCAATTCTCCTCCTCCCACACCTCCCCACCACCATCCTCCTCCCACTCCCCTTCACCCCGATCAACCCCAACCCCACCACCAACGCCACCACCTCTCCGTGCCCTTTTCGGCACCGGCCTTTCCCGCTTTCCCAACAAATTCTTCGGACACTCATACGACAAATGCCCACTTTCCCCGCACTCATAACACCTACTCTTATCCTTATACACCTTTCTCCTTATAAACTCCGAGGCGCGGCCATTGTCGGAGGCAATCGAAGCCTTTAGGGTTCGACCATTGAGAACCTTTCCATTTATCCCTTTGGCAGCTTTAATAGCATCTTCCCGAGAAACAAACAGAACGAAAGCGACACCACGGCTTTGGCGGATCTGGCGGTCTTTGAGGACGGTGACCTTGGCCACTTTTCCGAAGGTGGAGAAGATTGTGTGGAGGTCTGAGTTTGTGAGGGAGTAATCGACGTTTGAGACGTAGACGGTGGATTTAGATGGGGCTAGCCCTCCGCTTCCGCCGGTTTTGGTGACGGCGGAGGAGGAGGGTGGTGGTTGTGATGGTGGAGCGGAGGCGTATCGATAGTAAAAGGTATCGTCGTCGTCTTCGTCGCTCTTCATCTCTCTAGATGTTGTTTTTTGAACAGGTCTCTCTCTCTAGAGTTGAGAACAGGTTTAGGTTAACATAATAATATCTCATAGTTTAATCAACCAATGAACTCAACATGTTCACTTCAAAATTTTGCAACCAATTCTCTTGATTTCGCATTTTCGACAATAACTCAAATTTAAATAAAAATTTTAATAAAAAATTTAATTAAAAAATAAATTCAAATATTTACTCGAATTTTTTAAAAAAATTCTTATTGTCCTAAAACTCATTTTTTTGTGTTATTCAAACTATGATATTGATAAAATAAATAAAACTTTCGTGTATTGCTCTATAAATTGATAATTCAAAAATATATATGTATATAACACTACATGTGAATAAATAAATCACCCCAAAATTTTAATATTATTCTAATCCCTTATTATTTTTTATAAATTCAAATAAAAAAAAATATAACTATTTTGACATGGGTTTAGTCTGAAGAACACAAAAATATACGTTTTTAACAAAAATAGAACATTGAAGAAATAAAATGATGAATTTTCTAAGTTTATGGATAACGACGACTTAAAATTTCAAAAAGAATCGGTGACCTAAAATTGTATTACAGATAGTGTTTAATTCAAAAAAGTTAAAGAAAAATTTAATGAGTAGACTCAAAATTTATCCAGTATGAAAGATGGTTAAAATTAGAGTTTTGAAAAAAACAAAAAATCAAGAAGATGAAAGATAAAAAGGAAAAAATGTAGTTACAAGGTAGTGGTCAACGATGGAAGCAACGTAATAGAGAGAGGCAAGAAGCCGCAGAGAACAAGTACTCGAAGAAATATTTTAGTTTTGGATAGGTTAAAAAGTTACCGTTAAAAATTTGGTATAAAATTTGAATCTACTTCAATTTGAGTCTAGATTAAGTTTTATCTTGATTTGGTATAGGTTTAAGTCCAAGGTTAAAAAACATTTTAAGTCATTTTTAGTCCAGTTTAAATTTGACTCTACATTTGACTCAATGTTGAAAATGATCTTATATACAGATCCCTTAAAATTTGTGTGCACTCCGGTCTTCGTTAATAAATTACATCTAAGTCTCTTGAAAATTTATAGATATGTAACATTTAAGCTCCTTAAATTTAAAAAATTACACCTAAACCTCTTATTAGTTACAAAATAAATAAAATCTATTAAATAATTAAATTATTACAATTAAAAATAAAAGATATTATGTTCATTATAGTTTGATATGTATTTATTTTTTAATGTTATTTCAATAGATAATATAATTATATACTAAGTATGATTTTTTAAGAAAAAATTAAATTTTTATTTTTGATTTTATTTCAATAAATGACATAATAGAACTCGAATTTTAGTTGTAAAATTTAAAATATTTGATATTTTATCTTTAATTAGAGTATTTTTTGTATAAGTGTAATATTTTAAATTTGAGAAAATTAAATATTATATGTCTATAAACTTTTAAAGTGGTATGAGTGTAATTTAATAACTGATATTGAAGGCAAAAAATTTAGGAGATCTATGTATAATATTTTAAATGTTAAAGCGTCTAAATGATTAAGTGATAAACATCAAAGGGCTTGAGTGTAATTGTACCTTAATCAAAATATATAAAAACAAAAAAAAAACAAAAAAAGGGAAGACCTTTTTCTAGTTTACATATCTTCGAGGATATTTTCTCTATTATTCAAAGCATTACTAAGACTCTTTTTAATTTATATTTAAACATCACCTACAATCCCTCGTCTTTAAACTATTGTTTCTTACAAAAAAATTTCATGTAAAATACCAAAATTACTCCTACATAAACCTAAACAATTTGTTTACATAAAATTTGAATCGATTAAAATTTTTGTTTACATATTAAAATTTGAGTTGATTAAAATAATTTTTTTATATATTAAAATTTGAGCCAATTAAAATTCGATTCAAACTAATTAAATTTTATTTTTTTTTATGTATTAAAAATTGAGACTATTAAATTTTTTTTTTTACATATTAAAATTGGAACCAATTTGTACTCTACCTAAATTGTTATCACTGATTAAAATTGAGTTCAAGCCGATTGAAATTTATATTTTTTATTTATTAAAAGTCATCTCAATTAAAATTTGATTCAAGTTGATTAAAATTTAATTCGAACTGCTTAAAAATAAATATTAATCACCTAGAATAGAATTTTCGTCGACTCAAATTTTAATACGTAAAAAAATATAATTTTTAATTGACTTGAATTTTAATATGTAAAAAATGAATTTTAATTAGCTCAAATATAATTTTAATCGGCCTGAATTTTAATATGTAAAAAAAATTTAGAAAATAGAGGAGTTTATTGAAAATATGCATATCTAGAGGAGGCATGGATAGAGTGTTTTAAAAATATATCATGAGCTATTTAATAAAATTACATTGTAGCTACAAACTTTAATTTGACAGCGTAGTAGTGAAGATTTAAAAAATATAAGAGATGTCTTTGAAGATATAATAAATTAAAAAATAAGGGTTGCAAATCTTTCCAAAAAAACATTCTAGCTGCGAGCTGACTTGCAAAGAAAGAAATGAGTAACGGATTGGTAAATTTAGGTTTAATTTTAGTAGGTTGGAAACATAAATGAGTGTATAATAAATAAAGGAATTGATATTAATATGACTAAATAAGTAACAGGATATGAACTTAATTAAATATAAATTTAGGGGCATCAATACTTTGAAGTATTATACTCTGGCACCTCCTCTTTTTTAAAGGCTCTGTGTCCCTGTATTCTAATTGATTCCGTAATATTGTAGTAATCATGCTGTTTATTTATCCCCAGTCTATAGCTACTGGAAGACTTAGTAATATTTAGAGCCTTTTGCAATACTGATTGATGTTCTATGAGATTACTCCAGTTGGTGGGCAATTGTAGGATGTATGGCACTATCTGATTCATGGGAATGGGAGCCAAAGACATGATCGGTACTGTGGGAGGCTGTCTTCGAATCTCTTCCTCGTAGTGATCTTCCAATTTAGGAACTGCGGGCGGATTCTAAACTGGAAGGGGTACTGGGTCCATAGGTCTAGTATCTACTACTCTTGGTTGGCTTTATGGTTATGGATTTGTGTCACTTGAGCCGGGGTGGTAGACAGAGGATTTATTCCTTAAGCAGCAAGTACAGCCAGGGTGTTTTCAATGGCTACTTTCGAGGTTAATTGTGATATCATCCAGACAATCTCAACTAGTTGATAGCTAAATCTCCTTCGAAAGTTGTTGATTTGTCAAGGTTGTAGGGTTTAGCTGGGGGTTAGAGCTAGTGGACCCTTCATTGTCCCCATCATTGAGAAAGGTTCTTGGTGCCTCGATGACAGATGTTGTTGGCCATGATCTCTAGGTCTGATTCACTAAGGCATTTTAGACTCTTTGTTTTGACTAATCTTCTGGACGGGCCTTTAACAGTTTGCACCCACTTGCAGTTTGCAAACTAACGGCAAACTGAGTCTTAGAAGGATTCCTCTTGTACTGAACCTATGGTTCAACATTCAACGAATAATGAAACAATTCATATATTGACATTTCGTGCTCATTTCCAAATTTCTGCTTTGTTATTCCAATCGTCCGATAACCACTGGATGATCCACAAGAAGAGTGGTAGAATTTGAATTTATGGCCGAACCACCCCTAACTTCTTGGGTTGGGTGGCCGGGTTCGCACCCCTCGTCGCTTTTGTACCCAAAACAGATGCGTCGCACTACTCAGCACATAACCTTGCCTACCCTACTCCTCTTCTAGTTGTGACATTACCAATCGTGGGTAACCCCCGTTTCGGCTGCCCCTGACTTTAGAAAAACGGTTATCCTTATGACCAAATAAAGACCAACTTACTTCTTGAGCGATAGTTCCACGATCCTGACCAACAACTTGTTGGGAGTAGGGGCATCAAATCTTGCCCAACCTAATAAAGGGGCTTGGAGATAGAAGGTTTTTTGGGGGAGGTCAAGTTTCCAGGTTGAATTTTTTAGATCAAATAAGACTAGTTGGGTAGATAGAAGTGGTGAAATCTAACATTTGCATCAATGTTTAGCAAGACGGGTCGCTTGAGTGTCAAAACCAAGCCGTGGTTGTTTTTCCTTGGCTTATTGAACCAGCATATTTCCATTCCTCATTTGATGACTCCCATTAGAAAAAGCCTAAATATGTCGATGTGGATTGAAAGGAAATTGGTGATGGACATAGATCCGTCCACCTATTCAAAGTGTTGGAAATAAATCAAAAATTTTTGTATTTCTTATTTTTAGATCATCGAAAACAAATCTTACAATATGAATTTAACTTTACCCCGATTTTAACCCGAATGAATTGAACATGAACAACTACTTAAACTTTAGTTCGACAAGACCTACACAATCACATGTTAGCCGGTTCTGGCGGCGGTTGGGAATGAAATTTTCCTCAAACAATATCACATTTAGCGTATTTGGGCAGATTAAGACCAGGGGAATTTTATACTATTTCCCAATTTTGTGATCACATTATCCTTTTTTCAACTCAGATTATTTATCATTCCTGATTTGTTTTGTAAAATATTATTATAGAAAAGAGACGACAAAGTTCAACCTCGCAACTTTAAGGTCCAATATATAAGGATCATTTATCATTCTTGTTTTACTGCATATGTCTAATGCAATTTATCCTCTTTCTCTAAAAAAAATTATAAAATTACAATAATTATTTTGAAGTACATAACTTCGAAAAAGATTCACGTGTATTGGTGAACAATGACAGAACCAAAAGTAAGTCTAGGCTATTATATCTCTGGTTTTAGTAATATCAAATTATATGTCTATATTTATACTACTTATAAATGTCAACATATTTAAAAAAAATTATTTTTTTATTTTATCCCGACCTGATAATGTTTAAGTCAATCATACTCCACATACTCTTTTTATTATCATCATTTTTTATTCCATATTCTATCAAAACTTTTCATTTCGTCTCTGGCTATTGGCTCTACTTATTCTTATAACTTTAGGTCTTTAATTACAATAGTAATTCTACTAAGTCCCAATCACTGTGTAATAAATTTATAGGTCAATAACTAGGTTTAACAAAAATTAAAATAAAAATTAATTCTCCATACAAAATTTATTTATTCAATTCAATTACACATATAATCTATATTTTTTATCAGTTTAACATAAAAATATTATTTAAATCTATTGATGTGCAACGTGTGTCATGCATTAATAGTAATATTACAAGTTATGATGGTGATGTTTCAATAAAAAAAATTTGAATAATGCACGGCTTCAATCTCTCCTCCAATATAAAAGGAGATCAATCAGACGGAGTTGGAAGAATGAGAACAATAAGCACGTATTCTAACCTTCTCTATTCAATGAGGGTATCCCTTCCATCTTCATCTCAACTACTAGTTCTGTTACTTGGATAGTTTATTATGTTGATGATATCTGGGTTTACTGTGCTTGATTATAGTTGTAATACGATGCTTCTTTGGATTATTTCTTTCTATGCTCATAGTGTAGCTTAATTGCAATACTAAATACACCGCTAAACGTCAAAATAACTACATAAAACCCCCCCGAATTTTTCATTTCCTATAATCTAATAACCATCACATTCTTACTAAAACATCGCCAACTTCAAGGTTTCTTTTTATGAAACTATTTTTACTCAAAGCAGTTTCTATTTAGAATGCCAATAAGTACTCCAGTACTCTGGGAACTGGGGTCAGCCATCCTTCATTTGCAGTTGCTGTTCTACAAAGNCCGAATTTTTCATTTCCTATAATCTAATAACCATCACATTCTTACTAAAACATCGCCAACTTCAAGGTTTCTTTTTATGACCCTATTTTTACTCAAAGCAGTTTCTATTTAGAATGCCAATAAGTACTCTAGTACTCTGGGAACTGGGGTCAGCCATCCTTCATTTGCAGTTGCTGTTCTACAAAGNATATCTCTGGTTTTAGTAATATCAAATTATATGTCTATATTTATACTACTTATAAATGTCAACATATTTAAAAAAAATTATTTTTTTATTTTATCCCGACCTGATAATGTTTAAGTCAATCATACTCCACATACTCTTTTTATTATCATCATTTTTTATTCCATATTCTATCAAAACTTTTCATTTCGTCTCTGGCTATTGGCTCTACTTATTCTTATAACTTTAGGTCTTTAATTACAATAGTAATTCTACTAAGTCCCAATCACTGTGTAATAAATTTATAGGTCAATAACTAGGTTTAACAAAAATTAAAATAAAAATTAATTCTCCATACAAAATTTATTTATTCAATTCAATTACACATATAATCTATATTTTTTATCAGTTTAACATAAAAATATTATTTAAATCTATTGATGTGCAACGTGTGTCATGCATTAATAGTAATATTACAAGTTATGATGGTGATGTTTCAATAAAAAAATTTTGAATAATGCACGGCTTCAATCTCTCCTCCAATATAAAAGGAGATCAATCAGACGGAGTTGGAAGAATGAGAACAATAAGCACGTATTCTAACCTTCTCTATTCAATGAGGGTATCCCTTCCATCTTCATCTCAACTACTAGTTCTGTTACTTGGATAGTTTATTATGTTGATGATATCTGGGTTTACTGTGCTTGATTATAGTTGTAATACGATGCTTCTTTGGATTATTTCTTTCTATGCTCATAGTGTAGCTTAATTGCAATACTAAATACACCGCTAAACGTCAAAATAACTACATAAAACCCCCCTGAATTTTTCATTTCCTATAATCTAATAACCATCACATTCTTACTAAAACATCGCCAACTTCAAGGTTTCTTTTTATGAAACTATTTTTACTCAAAGCAGTTTCTATTTAGAATGCCAATAAGTACTCCAGTACTCTGGGAACTGGGGTCAGCCATCCTTCATTTGCAGTTGCTGTTCTACAAAGTTTGTTCTTCGTTGTCTCAATTCTCAAACAATTGCACCAAATTGATTTCCTTCTTGATCAATAACACCTGTTGCATTGTCATATCACATCACATTTTCATACTATTGTCACGCTCAAATTCTTTACATATACGTATAAAGTGATGTATCCCTCTAAATGCATATGTATGACACAGGCCAAGGGAGATCGCTTGGACATCCAAACACGACCTGACTCATTATCAGCTGAATATTGTGAGGAACATAAGTATCAACAACCGCAGTATGTAGAGTGACAAACTTGAGAACATTAAGACGTTATGTAGAATCTACTTGCCAGAAGGATTTAGTATCGATGTTATGGCATTATTTACAAATATTTTCAGCCGATCATATCGAGGAAACCAAGTTTTGGGATTCAGCGGCACGTCCGGAAAGTGAGCCCTGGGTCCACCTCTTCAGCATATCTAGTGCAGCCTTAGGCTGATCCATGGGAACCATATGACCAGCATCGTGGACCTGTTTGCCAAACAGAAACCATGCAACTATGTCAGCACTGGTAATCACCACCATTAAAAGAGCAGATCCCCAAAAAATTAAGGAAAGAAGAAAGGGGGGGGAGGGGGAAGAGAGAGAGAGACCTTGAGTAAACTGAGAGGCCCATGACTTTTCAACAATCCTGCTTCAGAACCATCAACTTCAAAAGCAACATCTGGAGATGCTTTGAACTCCTCCTGACCACTCCACTCCATGGCATGAACCCATCTTGAATTACCTGCTCATATCAAGGACAATCCGAGATACACATCAGATACAAGGTGGCCTCTAACTAGGCAAACGTCGAATTTCAGACTAAGCCCACAAATTTACCAAGCCAGTTGCAGATAAGATCATATTCTCCAGCATAGACAAGCAACTTAATTCCATCCTCGAGAAGTTCCGGAATGCCAGCTTCAAGATTTCTCATCCAGTCCACAAGCATGGCCTGATACACGGTAGGGCTACACGAGACGAAATCTATCTTCCCAACACCGAGAGCATCCCTGACAGACTTCAGGTTGAGATATTTCTCCATATTTGAGAAGTCATAGCAGAGGCTGCCCTCACATTGCCCTCTGATGTCATAGTACTGCATGTAAACATCAATGATTTTCAAATTAATTGTGCCTCATTTCTCAGTCACTGACAATTAAGTCTATGGATCCACTTTTTCTTTATTGGGGCCCGTTAGCAGAGGGTATTGTCATGTTGGTGATCAAATAAACAAAAATCATTTACTTCAGTCTTCCAGGTTGAAGGAGAGAAAACTACAGTAAGTGACAAAATCTACAGGTTTCAATTGATGTTGAGCGTTAACATTGGAAATTTCTACATTGCTGACTGCTTATCTGTTTAAGAAGCTCATAATAATAAATGACACTAAACATCATGAAATTAATAACAATTTCTTGATTCTGTCAAGCTTTGCAGAGTGTTTCAAAATGCCACATGAATAACAAAAAAGGAAGGTTTTATGAACTGCTTACATTAATATTGCCAGCACGCGCCAAGATAGAATTAAATATAGAATTGCAGACAAAATATGAGGCCACACAGGAGATAGTGCCATCAGTTCCTGAAAAAATAAACAAAATAAAATGTGTTTAAGATGAGGAGCAGCAGCAGGAAACATAATAAATCCTGGTTCTCAAGCTGACAGGAGAAAGATCCGACTCTTCAAAAACTTCAACCACAAAACATCATTATAAGCCTATTTACAGAAGCAATGCTCTCAGCTGAGAAAAGGAGCATTACTCACCAATCCCCTACACAACCCCAAGGAAAAGTAAAAAAACAAAAAACCGTAGAAAATAAAGCAAAACTAGGTAACATTACCGCAAAGCTTTATTGCCTTTTCACACACTGGAAGCACCTTGTTGATACTTTCATAATCAGAATTCTTAATTAAACCCATGTCCAATGCATAATCTGTGTAAGCTCTGTACTGGATTTCTGGATTGGTAAGCCCATTACCAATGGCAAATCCCTATTCAACCACTTTTGAGTTACGTACAGCAAAACAAATGAAAAAAACCCATTGTGACAGCAAAATAGTTCGAAGTGGGAAATACCTTCAAATTTATATATGCCCCTTCTTTAGCTTTGTTTCCTCGGTGGATTCGAGAAGCAAAAGCAGGAATGTAGTGTCCAGCGTATGATTCTCCAGTGATGTAAAAGTCATTATTTGCAAACTCAGGATGCTCCGCAAAGAAGGCCTAAACCATTACAATAACACCATTTGAGCCATAAACACATGTCTTTGCACCAGCAAATCACATCAATAAGTCGTTTGTAAGTTAAGAGTAACAACATAACCAGTTTTCGGGGTAAAGCTACCCCTAAATCAATAAGCTTATTACAATGGGTAGGGGCAGATTGGGATGAAAAGACAATATTGAAAATTGCTTCTAGGTGTAAGTTAAGGGTAGCAACCATAACCAGTTTTCGGAGTAAAGCTACCCCTAAATCAATAAGCTTGGGAACCATTCCAATGGATTGGGGTAGATTGGGATGAAAAGACACGATTGAAAATTGCTTCTAGGTGGGTATATAGGGTGAACCGCCCTGATCATATAGTTAAAAAGGTCAGTCCAGTACACGAGACTCTCATCCACTGCCATTTGGATGGAATTAATTCTTCCTACTCTAATCTAGTATTCATTTATCAAAAAATGCAATTATTTTTCTTTTACCCTGAATTCACCCTTTGCATATGCTCTTACACCTATTTGGATGGCAGTAACCTTGGTTGGGAACGACAAACTCAATCTTTTTTTCTTTTTTGCATAGGAGACATGGGAACTCCATTAATAACAAATGTGAAAAGATGCAATGAGAAACTAAATCATGGATTACTATGTTTGGATAGCAAACTAGTCCATAATCCAAATTGGGAACATAATTACTACTGCAATCATATTCTCAATAAGAGGGGGCGCCTTAAAACCGTGGTCAGTGGCGATAATCTTATACCCAGCTAAAAGAATAAAAATCCAAAACACTTAAGAAGAACACACACACACACACATGATTATGATTCAAACTGTCAGTGGATAGTCTACAAAAATAAAAATTAAAAAACACGTTATATATTTTTAAAGAGTATTACTGGAAAAAATATTGCACTATTTTGCATGTTATTTCAAATTAGTTTGGACTGAAACAGAAAAAACCATGGAATAGATATTACTTAACAGACAATATTAGTGACAATAATCAACATAAAATATAGGATTATTATTTAACTGAAACCAAGATATCCCTTTTGTTAGGAATGAGATACACCCCCCCAACTAAGATTATTTCCATCCAAATGGGGCCTTAGGGTTTTGATGCAACTCTATACATTACATACAGCCGCTCATGCCTTTCTTGCTCATCTCACACTCATGCCTCTTATCATCAATACACCCAGCTCATTATTGTCAGATCTTCACTTCCATCTCTCACTTAAAATTGCTTATTGATTCTTAATTTCGATTTGACATAATAGATTTTCCATCCAAGACTTACCCTCACATATTCTGGATTATGCCCCTATCCATAGTTGTTACCCATATCAACATCAACATCACATTCTTTACGCCCTAAAAGTTTGTTTACTTTATGTGGACTTCTATTACTTTATTTTCCCTCCTCAGATGGTTAAATGAAAATTATTTCTGGTTAGAATTCGCATTCACACATTTCAATGTCATTTGCTGTCGGTACTAAGGTTCATATGAGCTCATATTCAATTGGGATAGGAACTAAAGGACAAACAAACCTGTCTTAGTTGTTAGTATTGAATGATACGTTCGTACGATACTCGTTCCATCGCAAGAGCAAATAGTTTGATTGTTAAAAATGTCCTCCGACTCCTTTAGATGTTAGAACTAGAAATCTACAAATTTTGATAATGATGAATTATGTTAAAAACTTAAATACTTAGATCGTTAATTTTTTGTTTTGATCCTTGTAGTCTCTTTAACTTATTTTATGTGAGAAATATGTGGTGCAATGAAATGTTATTATGACATTTTTTCATAGATACATGTATTTTTTAATATTTTTTATAAAACTGCACATATCTCACTATATACAATACGTAATACACTTTTTCTGGAAAACGATAGAACTTCTGATACATGTTTTGACAACCTTGGTCCAAATCATGGCTGACAGTGGATAATGGCATTAGGGGGGGGGGGAGTCCTGAATAGAAAAAACGGGTTGCCATCCCACACCTGCCAAGTTACCCTTCCTAACATAGAATCTTGTTTTTAGGGTCACCCGATGACAACAAGAAAAAGGACAAGGGTAGAGTAGTCTTTTAAAATAAAAAACAAATCACATATAATAGCACGATATGCTTTAAAGAAATCGTAAAATAAAACTCTGCAATTGAGCAGAAAAATATTTGACTGCTTGAAAGTTTCTGCAAGTGCATCATTAATAATGCCATGAATTGGACTTTGAGCAGACCAGAGAGCACATTTAATTACATGTTTCTGCCACAAAAGAGGAAAGCAGAATGGAAACAAATTAATATACCTGCATGAAGTCATACAGATCATTGCTAACACCAGCTTCATTGTGACGAATGTCACGCCGATCAGAAGTATAGCTAAAACCTGTCCCAATAGGTTGATCAACATATAGAAGATTTGATGCCTGCAAATGTCCATGGAAAAGACATCATTAGAAGTTAAGATCTATTACAGGAGACCTTCTGAGTAAAAACACAGAAAAGTTAGAAGTAATAAAAATTCGGTGGTCGTAACACTTAAATCTTCTGCCGAAATTTACATATCCAACAACATTCAATCATCCAGTACATAAAGGGGAGGCATTTTCTACAGAAGACACACATGAAATTCAGTTTTCGTTTGGTCTAGTCAAGAACAAGCTTAGAAAACATATCAACTTGCTTCGAAGACCACAAAAATTCAAACTAAACAAAAACTTGCTCCTTTATTAGACAAGCCACTGATTTAGAAATATTATACATAAGATATAGAAATATTTTCCAAATATATAAGTGAGCAAACTAAACAAGCTTCTCCTTTAGAAAAAAATGGTGTTGACTTCCCTTCCATCTTTCAATCTTTGTGCTCCAACAGAAACTGGTATTCAAGGTCTTACTGGAAAAACTGGTATGCATTGATTCCCCAGTAACTACCCAGTACCCATGAACTAACACACACTTGCAGAAATTGACATATCACATACCCAAGTACATCTCATACTGAATATGTGTTTAGTGTTTACAATGGAGTGACCACAACAAAGCTAAAGTCACGCTAGATTAACCACATCAAAGCCCGTGAAGAAGCATATGGACAGGTTACAGGTAAGCCAACTGAACCAAGTATCGTGAACATACAATTTTACTCATCAAGTCATGAGTCATGACCACGCTACATAAACCAAGGAATGAACCATTAACCCCTGCTCTAAATCAACTCTCTTCCATTCTGACCACCAGTATGCCAGGAGCACTAACGTAATGCCCCAAATTCATTTTCTAGCATTAACAACTATAATCCATCAAACCATGAGAACATTCTAAAATAACCATAAAATAAATCAAACATTCATCATTCCATATTTAACTAACTAAAATTTCCATCATCTCAATAATAAAATCCCGCTGAACAACAAAGTTCAGGAAGGGTGTACATCAACGCATCAACATTAACGAATCCTTCCTGGGATTATGGTATACGAACCCTCAGCCTCGATCGCCTGTGAAACGAATAGTGGTTTGTCTCTCACAAAGCACCAACCCCACTACAAGTGATAAGAAACCTTCGAATCCCTTGAGATAAGAAATACGTCTAAACACTCTGCGATATCGGTTCGTATGTAACCCTAATTCATCAATCCCATCACAAGAAATATAATTTCATAACCCAATTTTTCCAACATTTAAAATTTTCAAATCACAAGAGTAACTTAATCAAAACAATCAAAAAATCGTAAAATAAAGTATTCAAGTTGACAATAATGAAAATTTAGAATTTTTATCAAAAACATGCGATTTTTGATCATTCTTTCAAGAAACAAACCATAATGTGAAAAAGAGTGTAACAACGTTGTAGATCGATCATATATAATTGAATAGGAATCAAAGCATACATAGAGGTAACCCTAACCCTCAATGAATGAATTTGAAACAGAACTCCTAACTTAATTTTCGTAAATCTTTATCCTAACATATTTTGTTATGTTCTCTAAGTGTAAATCCTTCGACATCTCTCCCTTCAGTTCTCCCAACTCTCCTTAGTCTCCTAAGGTTGAGATATAGGTAAAGCAACCCCAAAAGACGTCCCTAGGTATTTTATATGGTGAGAAAACAGTCCAGGCAGCACAGATATGATCTGCAAAATTGCGTCGGCACGTTCGGATAAGGAGATTGGCATTCGAATGGGATACACTTCAAGTATCTCTTGTTTTCTGCTAAAAAATTCATCAGGCAGAGTGTTCGAACGGATCTATTCGCGTTCACACGGGATCCATTTTCTACCTGAACTTTCAAGGCAATTTTGGCCTAGTTAGAGGTCGACTTACGAAATTTTCATAAAATACATTTTTGTACCTCTTGAAGTCTAGTTTCAACTGTCTAAAAAAATCAGATCCATCAGATATTAGGGTAAAAAATTATGGAGAAATACTAAGGTAGTGTCAAATTCTTTCTTACCCGAATTCACCTCAGAATACGTTTTAACTTTGAAATATTTCCAAGCTTCTACTATACCCCAAAAAACTTATCCCCAGGTTTTTTGACCTTTCAAATTTAATGATAACATTATTTTGAACTAAAAACATTTAAAAACTTGCTTAACCACCCTCCTCAAGGTTAAACACCTCCGAAACTAAATTCAACTCAAAAGTCAACACGCGTAAAACTCAAACTTCATGATCAATTTATCAAAAATGATTCAAAGTTTCTATTATCATTTTATTTATCTTAGGAGGATTCTTAAGATGATATTATCATTATTTAATTATAATAAAGGATCTTACAACTAACAGAACTAAAAAGCAAACAAACAAAAACAAACAAATTGCCTCTAGAATTATTCAGGAATGCAGAGGCCATTATGACTAACAAAAAAATTGAGAGGTACAGCTGCATCTAGACAGGTCAGAGGTACTGTTTGCATTGTAATAATAGCTAAAGAAAATTAGAAACATACATTGACAGTGACTACTTTAATCAAATATTCAATTGCCTAGACAAGGAAAAAGCGCAACCTAAAATAACAATTCCAAATGCAAACATCAAAACATACGCAATGTCTTTTAGCGAAAAACTAGCTCTGTTTTGGTATGGAGGGTCAATCTAATCATAACATCCCTTTCAAACAGCTAGCAAGAAAGAATCAATGTTATCATTTCCATTGACATGGACTACCATTCGCATGCATATGAAAGAATGTACAACTATCATTTGAATGCATAAGCAGGAATATAGCATTTTGTAATGGAATTTAGATCCACAACTAAATAGCAATAGTAAGAAAATTGTCGTGCCACCTCGATATTTATGTATCTAAAACTCCTAAATGGTAGGAAAGTCACAATTACACAACTGTTATGAAATATGAAGTACCAATATTACTTTCAAAAAATTATGCATAATATATGGATCACGCTAAGATGGTGGTACCTTGTCCCACCCATACTCATTCCACACTAGAGACATATTATGTGCAATACTGAAAGGCCCATTTTCATAGAAAAGAGCCAGCTCGCTGCTACACCCGGGCCCCCCAGTCAACCAAATAACAACAGGGTCCTGCTTGCTGTTGCGCGATTCAAAGAAGAAGTAAAACATCCTGTAATCAACCACCAAGAATAATTTAGCAAGGCTACATAAAACAATGACAGAAATTAGATGGCAAACAATAAGCTCATATCAAGAACAAGTATAAAAAAGTTTTTAGTCTATGTCCACAAAGGATATAGTTAAACTAAGCAATCCAATAAATACTAATAGTTAGTTCAGATACAATTAACTTAAACCATATCCGCGCCTGCTACTGTAAGCTATGGAGAATAACAAATACAAATTAAGCACCTTTAACATGCAGAATTATGACTTTCGGTTCTTGAGCAACAGCCAGGCAACCAACAATGCTTCATTACTATAACAAACAAATCTACACAGTCATCATTCAAGGCATGCTCCAAAACATTCTCTCAAATCTGTTAATTTTATGTTTTTCCATTAAAAATAAATATTTTCCAAGTCACAATATTTGCAATATAGGCCGATACTTCAAACTATGTCAATAAACAATGAACATATCTTCTTCCCAAACAGTTGTTGAAGCTTACACCCGCCCCTTTACGGTTTTGGAAAGAGATACCACTCAGGCTAATAGCTGGTGGGTTACTAAACAGGTCAAATATAAATATTCACCAGTAACTTCATTGGGTAACAAGAAGCAAACTAAACATTTGCTACAAACTCATTCATACGGTTTGAGCAAGACATTACATAGTACAGACCACATCTAGAACTAAAATAATTATATTATTTAAATCAATCCATGGACAGTCAAGTTCAATTCGCATGAGTTCACAGAAAATCTGGATCGATTAAAGAAAAAGCTGCTTATAAAGCCAATAGTGCTAAGCCTCCAAAAGTTCGCCATTTGACAGATTGTAGTAAACAAATTATCCGAAACTGCAATTTCTTCATCCCTATAAACCTCTTGATCATACATTTCGAATAAATACAACCAAAAAGTCCTAATTTCAAATTGCCTTGAATTTCACAAAAACAAGTATGAAAAAAGCAGCAACGAAGCATATCATTAAAATTGAAATTTTCCAGGGTTTTCAAAATTACTTAGCGCCACGTGAGTGTTGAATCGGGTAGTAACCCGCATGATGACCTAGGTCTTCAGTGGATTCGCCAGAATCGGCCAAATTAGGGAATTTGAAACGCTTCTCCACGAGCTTCGAACCCGTCAAGGCAGATGAGTGGTCCTGATCGACGACGTTGATCGATTCTTTGGGGAACAAATTGAGCTCTCTGATCAACTTCTCGGCCTGAGTCGACGGAAACTTCGCATCCGACGGTATGCGAAGCGTAGCAGAAGAGAGAGGAGAGATTAGCAGAGCCAGAAGAGAGAGAAATACCAAATTCCTCTTCATTTCCATCGGTCGCTCAGGTTTAGAGAGACAATGGAATGAGGAGAGAAGGAGAGGAGCGCAAATTGATACTCCCTAGATAGAGACAATATATGCAAATCGCGTGGGCGTGTCTGACTGTGTGAGAGAGAGAGGAGAGAGAAGAGAGAAGAGAGAGTCACAACAACCGTTCAAAAGGTTTGGGGTGGGGTGAGAGAATGTGTGTGATGTGGCGTCGTATATGGCNGAAGAGAGAGTCACTTCAAAAGGTTTGGGGTGGGGTGAGAGAATGTGTGTGATGTGGCGTCGTATATGGCGGAGAGAGAGGAGGAGAGCAGAGTGGAAAGGTTGTTGGAATGGTGACTTGGTGGCGAAGCGATTTTAGTATTCCTTTTGCTTTCGGCGGCGGCCAAGGAAAAATAGCTGTGATTACGTACTAAGCTACGTCATCTATCTAATATTACAGGTAATTTAGCTTATAAAAATGCAATCATAAAATGAAATTAATTTTTATTTCGTAGCGTAATATCACAATTTTTTGGGTGCCTTACTTGATGAATTAATGGACCATAATTTCACAAGTGTATCTATAAATATTTGGATTAGAGTTCTAATTACCTCATAGTTCTTAACAAGTACTGAATATTAAGAAAACAAGAATTTTTCACAAGCCCTCAAGTAGATAACGTTTAAATTACTAATAATTTTTTTTTATAAATTTATTATGTGATATTTAAATACAAAAAAAAAATAATTTAAAAAGTTTTTAACCAAATTTCTACTCAAATTTTTGTTAAAAAGTTACCCAAATTATGCATTTTTGAGTCGTGAGTTATCGAAATTTTGATTAAGAGCTACCTAAATTATAAAATTTTTGTCAATAACTATTCAAATAAATTTTTTTGCTACATTTAGGTATTACGTGACAAAATTTATAATTAAAAACACTTGGTAATTTAAACGTTATCTGTTTAAATGACCACATAAAAATATATTCAATATTTTAAGGATCAAAATGAAATAATCTCATATTTTGAGGACATCTGGTGTAATTAATCCTAAAAATTATAATTACAAATTTGATTTTTCAAAACCAATAAGCCTTTTAATTTCAATTTAATAAAAATTATATCGAGATTCATCTATCTTCAATTTCTCGAATATAAAATTTGATTTTTTTCCTTCAAAATCTTAAAAAATATTAAAAGCGAAAAAAAGATACAATATGACATAAAATAATATATTGAATGATAAAAATACAAATAATCAAATATCAAATAATCTAGATAGTATGAATTATGAACATATAAATCATCAATCAACTTCCACATACCACATTGCTCATTTTGGTTCATTTTGCTATCAAACATATCTTCATACTTGAGTATGATACTTGGGTATATAAATTAATAATCATATTGAACAATTACACCCCTGTAAGACTATAATAAAAGTGAATAAAAGTGAACAATCACACTCTGCAAAGCCAAAATCATATTTAACAAAACTACATCATAACTACGAATGTGCTTAGTAACGTTATTATTTTTTTTATATATAAAAAATAAAATAAAATTAATTTTTGTTTTTTTGTGATAAAAAATAAAAATATAAACCATATTTGGTAGTTATTTATATTTAAAAAATTACAAAAACAAAAATAAAAAATATATTTGGTATTATACCAAATATCCATCACCCAACACCATCACATTTCCACCACTGTCATCAGCAAAACCCACCACCCAACCCCTCTTGCAAAACTCACCACCACCAATCACCCAATATTTAACCACTGATATCCCCCCCTTGTAAAGCGTATCACCCACCCCCCCGAAAATCCACCACCCAACCTCCTGCAAGAACCATTACCCACCACCACTCAACTCCTTGCAAAATCTCCGAAATCCATCACCACCCAAACTCACCATCCAACCCTCTGCAAAATTTAAGCAAGAAAAACAGAGAAATGTGAGAGAGAGATCTGGGGAAAACAAAAAGTGAAAGAGGGGATGAGGCATTTTATACTAAAGTAAGAAAATTCATTTTTTGTTGTTAAGGAGAATAATCTCATTAAATCCCATTTTTAAGCCACAAGTTGGTTTTTTTTTTTTAAGATGTTTTCAAAAAAACAATTTTGAACGTTTCCATATTTTCAAAACGAAATAGTAAAAAAAAATGAAAAACATTCACCAAACGTTTTTTTATTTTTTATTTTTTATTTTTTTTTACATAAAATGAAAACAAAAAAAAAAATTACAAAGTTACCAAATGGCACCTATATTTCGTACATGTACGAATCAATTTCACATTATTTGGCCCAAAATATAAGTCAAATCAACAAAACTTGTAGAATTTCATATCAGCAGAAAATAGTCAATTGAAATACAAATTTCAAATGATCAAAAACATATTTTTTACAAAGAGATTTGAAAAGACAGAAACATATTGTATACTATTGTGTATATAATTATATCTCATATCGAGATTGTGCACTGTATTAAATCGAAATTGATTAATATTTTAGAATTAATATAAAACTAAGTAATTATGACTTATTTGAACCAAAAATAATTTTGAGTGTGAATAACAAAAAATAATTATATCCAAATTTTATCCAAAAAATATTAAACGATGATCAAATTTAAGTGACTACTCGTTAAATTGAACNTGACTTATTTGAACCAAAAATAATTTTGAGTGTGAATAACAAAAAATAATGATATCCAAAAAATATTAAACGATGATCAAATTTAAGTGACTACTCGTTAAATTGAACCTATAAAATTAATAAATCATAACCCAAAATCTTTACCTAAATTTTTTATTGGAAAAACAAACTTACTTTTATTTAGGCATTTAAGCCTGGCATATGTCTCATTTAAAACTTTATATATATATTATTCAAACACTTTTGATGTTTAATGTGAAAATTTTCTTTCAATATTAATGATACGTAATATTATAACCATTGAATTCATTTTTAGGTACGAAATCCATATTTGAGATCAATTATTTATTAATAAAAATAAAACTTGATAATATAGAATCACAATTATCTTTTTAACTAATAATCGAGTTATCCCACACCTATTTTGATCAAATAGTATAAAATTCATCTAAAATATTTTTTTTTGACCCAAAAATATTAACTTATGTGTAACGCCCTCAATGTAAAACAATTCAATTGACATATTAATCATATCACTTCACACCTACCTATCTCTTCATTTTAATTTTAAATTGTATAATTAGAAAAAATTAAATTATTATTTAAAATATAAATATTAATATTTTTTGATATCGTATAATATTTTCACATACGAGATTATTATTTAGTACATAAATACATGACCATAAAAGTGACAAAACAATAAATTTTTTTAAAACATCGAAAAGTCCACGGTCCCAAGTCTACGTATATATAGTAAGCTTCCTGTGTCCCACTGAAGGTAGTTTGTCCGTCGTTTTGAAGCTAGTTGACTAAAGAGTTCTCCACTTCCTAAGGATGGAGGGGTGATTTACACACTTCAGATTACAATTTATGAATTTGAGTTTTCAGTGGGGTTTCCAGGTTTACAAGGTGAAACTATGGAAGAATATGATGTAAACGAATCTATGATCGTCAAAGCTGATGAAGGGTATAACGCGGTTTATACCATCGACCATCTCCATGATGCTACAGGGACAAGGAACTACTGAAATGAGAGATCATTTGCTGGTTATCTAATCATAAAGCCCTTCATCGTGCCAGATATCAACTAAAAAGTCTACCATCTCCTGCAGAAACCAAAAATTAACCAAATTCATTAGCATTTTTCTGGAAACGAAATGAGCATTCTCGAGCACAAAGTAATGGCAGGCTTAATTTTAAGCATTCTGCTTCTCCGAACTTTTGGGGCCACAAAGTCGTCCCATCATCAAATGCTAAATACATGGGGGGAAATGTTGTTTACTATATCCTAAAGAAAGATCACATAAGCAACAAAATACACTAATTTGACATGGTATGGAAGATAAACTGGAATTCAAATCCCATGCTTTAAAATATATCATACCAACTTCAAATGGCATCACTTTGCTGCTACAGAAACTCGAAATCTTTGCAACGAATTTTAAAATGCCATCTAGAATGGGTTTCCTGCCTTATTCTGCCTCTCAATTTTAAGCTTTACTTTTTCTTGGGAGAGAGAGATAGCAGCAGCAGCAACACATACGCAACTAAAAAATTATGAAATCATGCACAAGAGAGTGTCTGCCAAAATGCTTACTGGTAAAGGAATGGGCTCACAGAAAGGCTCATTAGTTGAGAGCAATTCTTCATAAGTCGTTGACCAGCTGCACGAGAAAATTTTTTTGTTACCATCCACATTCCAGATAATGAGCTAGAACAAACATTGAGGGGGGGGGGGGGGG